AGCTTGTGATCAAAGACCGGTATCAGAGCCCAGGCAGTGGCGCTGGTTGTTTACTACCAGGCTGTGCTCTGATTGGTCAGTGCCCTTGACTTCTATTGTCAAATATTTTTGGTCACCAGGCTTTGCACAGATTATTTCATTAAATCCTTACAAGCTTATTAGGTAGTAACTGTTTTTATTCCCACTTTTACAGATAGGGGAGCACAGATGGGTGAAGGAACTCATCCCAATGGGAGAGCTGGGTCTTGAGCCTGAGCCCAGCTGCCCCTGAGCCTGTCCTCTCAGCCACCACCCGTCCCCGAACATCCTAACCAGCTGCAGCTTCCGCACAGTAAGGTGTGAAGACATAAAGCTCAGATTGAAGTAAGGGATTGTGGGGGCGGAGGGAGGCAGCTGCTCTCTCAGACCACGGCAGCCCCAGTTTCTACACGGAACACTCCCAATTCGGAAGCCAGGACAGGACCCAAAGCTCTTGGGAATTGGGCTGATTCTTTGTCCCCTCCCCATGCCAGGAGCAGATCCAGCCAGCTGTGCCGTGGGACTGCCAGGGCCATCCAGGCTGGTCACCAAACACGTCCAGAGCCTCTGCTGGTTGCCAGGCATGACTCCAAAAGCAAGCGAGGCTCAGGCCTGGCCTTCAGAGCATCGGGAGCTTCTTGTCCCTCTCTTGCCTCAGATTCTCCTGCTAAGAGGGGCCAGCTTCAGGCTTTGTCTTTTCTTTCTTTCTTTCTTTCTTTTTTAAACATTTATTTATTTGACAGAGAGAGCACGAACAGGGGGAGCAGCAGGCAGAGGGAGAAGCAGGCAGAGGGAGAAGCAGACTTCACGCTGAACAACGAAACCAATGCAGATTCTATCCCAGGAGTCTGAAATCGCGACCTGAGCCGAAAGCAGAGGCGTCACCGAATGAGTCACCTAGATGTCCCCAGGCCTTGTCTTTATTTGATGCCCCAACCATTTCTTTGAAGTTCCTGCCCTCTAGGCTGATGACCACCGTGCCAATGGTCAGGGAGAAATCCAGACTCACGGGATGCAGGGGACAGCTTAGGGCCACAGCCATCTCTTCACACTGGGCGCTGCAACTGGTCCGGGCCTCCAGGCCATAGCCAGTGGGCGTGAGGACTGAGATTGGCCGGGGAGGGAGGGGAGCTCCAGGCTGTAGCAAGACCCTCAGGCCCATGATGCCTGGGCCTTGGACCCAACCCCATCCATCCTGTCCCCTCTGCTGATGCTCTTGGCTCAGTACTAGGTGGTGAGGAGCTTGTGGGGCAAGGTCCTGAGGCCCAGCATGTCTAACAGAGAGGGTAGCAGGGGAGTGGGGGCTAATGGAGCCCGGGTATCACCTCCATGGGGACGTGCACAGTCCCTCACACACCCCTCAGCAAAACACCACCCAAAGCCCCCTAAGCTTGCAGCCCACCAGCCTCCCTTCCCAGAGCCCTTCTCCCCCACCCTTTTTTTTTTTTTTAAGATTTTATTTATTTGACAGAGAGAGATCACAAGTAGGTAGAGAGACAGGCAGAGAAAGAGGGGGGAGGCAGGCTCCCTGCCGAGCAGAGATCCTGACGTGGGTCTTGATCCCAGGACCCTGAGATCATGACCTGAGCTGAAGGCAGAGGCTTTAACTCACTGAGCCACCCAGGTGCACCCCAGAGCCCTTCTTGTCAGTAGTATTGCTGGTGCCTGAGATGGGCTTCTCCTTTTCTGGCCACCCTCCATTCCACTATGTGCATTCCAGAACTACAGCTTTCTGATCGAGAGCTGGCAGCCGCCGGGGAGAAGACCCCAGACGCTGGTGCCCTTTCCAAGTCATGTATAATAACCTTATAGCCCCTTCAGGGACCACAGCCTCACCAAAGCTCCCCTGCCCTTGCCTCCCTGGTAGAGGAGGTGACTGCAGAACTCTTAGCTTCCTCCCTGGGGAAAGGCGATGGTGGAGAAGGAAGGTCCTCTGCTCAGGGCAGAAGGCTAAGAAATGCTGCTCCTGGTTGTGCCTGGCCGACAGTCCTGGCCCCTGGCAAACATCAGGCATGATGCTCAGGCAAGGAAACCAGAAAGGGCAGGGGGCACATCACAGAGAAGTCCTATGATGCTGTTTGGAACAATGTTGGTGTCTGAGTGGGACCCCTCACTGCCAGGGGCTGCTGGGCCGTTAGCAGAGCCATGGAGAACAAGGACCCCTAGGAGGGAGGACAGAGGCTCTGGTTCTGCCTTACAGCACAGTCCTCTATGTATAAACTCAAAGCTGTCCCAGCTGCACCCACTCGGCCTACAGCCTTGCTCATTCTCCACACGTGCTGACAAAGGGCTCAGGGAGCCAGAAGGCCAGCCATCTGGCCCAAGAGGGCACTTCCAGCCTTCTTCCTGGGGGTGGTTTGGGATTTGGGTTGGCAGCCTGGGCAGGGGCTTGGCTCTTCCTTCCTTCCCCTAGCCTTGGCCTCAGGAAGGCAGCTGGAAGGCCAGCTGTTTGTGCTGAAGTTCCTGGCCAAAAGCCAGGCCCAGCTGGATGGACATCCCTGAGGAATGTCCACAGGGGCAGGTGCGACTACCATTGGGCTGAGGGAAGGAAGAGGCTGTGGGGCCCAGACAAGGCAAGCCAACTGCGTTCTCGCAGTGTCTGGGGTGGGACTGATGGTGGGACATGGGCTGTGATCGCCTCAGCAAGGTTGCTATGAAGTGCTCCCAACCCAAGGGATGGAGAGGTAGGGGTGGAGACCGGATGTGCAGGGTGGGGACTCAAGGCTCTTATGCCCAGTGGACCACAGTACCATCAGTGAGACAACAGCTGCAGATGGGTGTGGTGAAACCTGTGCACCTCGCCCTTCTCCAGGGCAGGCGAGGTTGGCCACAGGCCTGAGCCTCTGATCTCTGGCCCTCAGCTGTTGCCCTGAACACAGGATGGCCCCGTTGGCAGGAAATAAAGGGCAAGCCCAAGTCTCCCACCAACCCAATGGCAGACAGCTAGCTAGACTGCATCTACCCTCTACTATCCTACCTGAAAGTGACCCAGAGGGGCCTGCTTTCCCACTGCTGCAGAGACCCCCGCCCCAATGCCCACCAGGCAAGAGGCAGTGCTTTCAAGGAGCCAAGTAGGGAAGACCCCTGAGGAATGACTGAGGAAATGAGTGGGAAAGACTAAAATTTCCAGTCCAGCCAGTGGGCTCAGGGTTTCTCTAACATTTGGAGACATTGGAGACGTTGGTCAGGCCCCTAGGGGGTTGGGGAGGCCTGCCAAGGGGCATAGGATGGTTCTTGCTGGCCTCTCCCAACTGCTCTCCTTCCTTTCTGGCAGGGTGACAGGGACCAGTTGACTTACGTATGGGCAGATCTCTGGAAGTCAGCCAGATTTGACGTCCTTGCCTCTCTGGTAGTTTTCTTCCATACTACCTTAAATTCTGTAAATAGGATGTAACCTCTGTGTATTGTCTGAATCATCTAGTCTACCTACTGACCAGCTTATGGATGAAGCAGGGATATTTTACGACCTAGCAGCATGGGCCCACAGGTGCCTGGCAGAGAAAAGAGGGAGTGAAAGGTGAGACAGGACGAAGCATGGAGGGAGAGCAATGGGGGTCACCCTCATGAGGGTGGACCTGGCTTGTGACCAGCAATTTCACAAACACCTTCGGCTACCTTCTGAAGGGCACAGGCTAAGAGCTTCAAGACAAGGGCAATGAATGGCTTGGTTCAGAATCTCCTGGTAGCGGGCCAGAGTGCTGGCACTTCCAGCCCTTAACTGGTCTGATCGAAACCAAGTCCGTAGACAGTCAAGAAATGCAATTATTAATACACAGGTTCACCAAGCATCACTTGGCTCTGTCCAAAGCAAATCGTGACACGGATCACCTTTCAAAATAGGGGGTCTGCCTGTCATTACTGAAAGCACCCCCCGCCCCCGGAGTCAGAAAGCAATTTTCCAGGCATTTCCCCACAGGAAATTTTATTTGTGAAATAGAGGTTATCAATTCAAATGAAGACCACTAACAAAAATGAAAGTCTCAACTTCAAAAACTTTATTGTCTCATCCATCAAGGGCACAGGATACCTTCATCAGCTCCAGCTTTTGCTTTTCTCCTTACAGATTGTTCCATCACCTAAACCCAGGGTTATCCTGTGTGGGCAGCTTCCTAGAACCAAAAGATATTTTTGCCTTCTGGGTTAAGAATGCTCAAGCAAGTCTGGAAGCACAAGCTGCACTATTTAAAGCAGCAAATTCCCAGCTGCCCAGTAAAATCCACAGACCTCTACGTCAGATGTAGGGAAGACGCACTGGGGGAGAAGGTTCAAGTTTCACCGCACTTGGGTCATCACAACTAGTAAACTCAACTGACATCACCAGAGTGAAGTCTGTCTATTCGAACTCAAGACACTGCCAGGTACACTCCACAGCACATTAAGCCGTCCAGGATCGCGACGTCCTTCAGAAGCACAATGTTGGATCATCACAACTGGGAAGTCACTGTTCCAGAGCTGGTTACAACGAACCTTCCAGAAAACCAGCTCTTTCTATATTGGACTCCACCTCTGATGCGTCATGGAGGTTCATTAAGTTGCCAAGAATCAAACCTATTCTAGCTTGCCTCTCTCCCTAAGTCCCTTGAATTTGAAACCAAACATTTTAAAAAAATGAAGCTACTTTATTAGGGCACAACTATCTTTCTATAGCTACCAGCTCTAAATACACAGAATGCTTGTCTGATGACTGGTGTGGCTCTTGTGCCCATGTCTTGCTGACATCTAAATACTATGCATACAGTGTACCATCAATGGTTAAGAAAACTAGCTTTATACTGAAAAAGCAGCTTAAACCAACAAGGAGTTTTAAATTTGTTAAAATAATTTGTATAAAGAAATTTCATAATTATTTTTGTGTATAAATGGTTCCTTTGTCTACCGAGCAAAACCAGGTATAAACGAAGCTCAAACTTCAGGATACAAAGAATCTAGATAATGGACGTATTAAAGCTTTGTATATTCAAATGTAGGTTTTTGACACTTGGTTGAATAAACAAGTTTATTTGTAAATTTACTCAACATACATAATTGACCTGAAGACTTCAATAGAAGGATAATTTTTAAAAACCACCTGCAAAGGCCATCTCTATAGTGATTTTCCCAGGACCATGGATCAGATGTAACCTAACCGGACACCATCTTAACTGGCAGAGGTTCAAGCTGGAGTTGTGTGCCCCTCCCCCACAGCAAGTTTACTCTTAAGGATTATTATAATACAAACTCCACAAGGAAAAGAACTTCGGTATTGTTTCCTCTTGGTAGAGAAAAACTCGACCTAGTTAGGAGACCAACCACAACACAAAGAAAAGCTGCACTAACTAGTTTAGATTATTATTAACAGATGATGCTGGTGTGAATAACTCGGTATTATAGTCTAGAGCCCTTATAAATAAAATCCCCCCATTAGTGTTTGCATTAATCAGCTAGAGGGTTAGTTAACATGTGGTAGAATGAGGACTTATGCAAGGTATAATTTGCAAAGCATTTTACTATCAATGAAAACAAGTGCAGTCTAGTTAGGAGAAAACCAACTTGACTTTAAATTACACACACCTTAATGACAAGACTCCCCACATGTGAATGTAAAACATTTAATTTAAAAATGTTGACACTACAATATATAAAATAGCTATTATAAATGCACATAGTGTATTCTATAGCTGCCAAGTTTACTTTTTTTTTCTTTTTTTCTTTTTTTTTTTTAAGGAAACTGTAAGTTACACTGTGGTTAAGACTTGTATCTTCACCCTTGAAAAAGCCCACATTCTATCACAGTGATGTATGGTCAGACTTAACAGCCCCAATTGTTAAACACTTGGATCAAGTCATAACCAGTTTTATTGCAAAAGGACCCTGTACACATTTATCAATTCTAGTACCTTAATAGCTACCCAACAAGTCATTAACATACAGAAACATGCATCATGAGAAGCAAGAAGTATCACCCATCCCTTCTGCATATTAGCAACTTGTCACTCCTGAGCAACAGTGCTCACATCACTGAGGTCTGTGAACAGTCACTTTTCGCATTCATCCTGAGTGAAAGATGGAATGACTTAAGTACAAATGCAACATATTATAAACAATTTCTTACAAAAAAAGTCACAAATTAAACCAAAGTATTTTACAGAATTTACTACAAAACACCATAAAAACTGCCTTCACTTAAGCTCTCTCTCCCCGTATCCGGCGAGCCAACTGGATGTCTTTGGGCATGATGGTGACTCTCTTAGCGTGGATGGCACACAGATTAGTATCTTCAAATAAACCCACCAGGTACGCTTCACTGGCCTCCTGTTGAGGACAAGAGCCACACTATTAAACTCTCTTCGCGGAGAAGCCACGCACGAGCCCTCCGACCCTACACAGCCGCGCTCGCCTTACCTGAAGGGCGCCAATGGCGGCGCTCTGAAACCTCAGATCGGTTTTGAAATCCTGGGCGATCTCCCTCACCAACCTCTGGAAAGGCAGCTTCCGGATCAGAAGCTCGGTGGATTTCTGGTAACGACGGATCTCCCGAAGCGCTACGGTTCCGGGCCTGCAGCGAGCAGGGGAGTGTAAGCGGACACCCGGGGACGGACAGAGCCCGGCGCCAGCCCCAGGACGCGCTCCCGCACGGGCCGCGCGCCGCCCCGTCATTGTCTGCCTGCCGCCTCGCCTACCTGTAGCGATGAGGTTTTTTCACCCCACCGGTGGAAGGGGCGCTTTTCCGGGCGGCTTTAGTGGCCAGCTGTTTGCGGGGCGCTTTTCCACCCGTGGATTTACGGGCAGTCTGCTTGGTTCGGGCCATTTTCTTTTACCTAAGGAAGACATCCGTGATTCCGGGGCCCCGGCGCTCGCCCCCCCGGGGGGTCACGGGGGGACGGGCTCGGCGCCCCTGCCCTCCCGCCTCTTCACCGCGGCAGATGGCCCGGGGCCGCCGCCTCCTCCCCCTCCCCTAATGACTCAGGCTGCGAGGAGCGGCAGCAGCCTCCCCCGGGAGGGGGGGTGCGGGGAGGAGTCACTTCCCCTCCTCGACGGGCGGAGGCCCCGCTTGCCCGGAACCCGGCGTCGGGACATCTGAATCACCACCGGGAAAGAGGCGGAGACGCGGTTCCGGAACGAAGCCCCAAGGGGAAACCTCCCGGACGCACACCCGACGCCGGCGGCCCGAGCAGCCCGCACCAGCCAGCACTCCGCTCCCAACGGCTGAGGCCCGCGGCATTAACGGCCGACGAGGCCTCGAACCACGAGCAAACCCGCCAACGCTTACCCAATGCCGAAGTCTTAGACCGCTTCTTCGACAGCCGCGCCGCTCCTGCTGCCCAGTGAAGAGCCGCAGTCGCCGAGCAAGGAAAAAGAAAACCCTCCAACAAACGACCAAACCGCTCTGTGCTCCAAACCCCCCCTTTGCTTCCGCTTTTATACCCACGCTTCACGCTGCGTCCCTGCGTCATAGGGGCTTCATTTGCATACACCAACGACTTTTTCTATTGGCGGGAGCTTTCGCCGACGCGCTGACATCCCCGACACAAAGGCCGTGCTTCGGCCCCGCTCCCGGATTGGTGGGCATCTATGCCGCTGATTGGCTGTTAAAGTGGCCTAATGATTGGATGAATGCAAAGAGGAATGGACGAATCAGAGGTTAGCACGAAGCGGCTCTTCTGATTGGATAAAATGAAGCTATGTTTGGATCCTTCCCTCGGTTCCAAAGCTCTACAATAGAAAGTCAATGCAAATGAATTGCATTGGTCTGTTTGAGGACTTCAGGGTCGGGATGGTTAGGAATCCAACCAAATTCGCATCTCTCCAATAAAATGCAGGAGGAGAGATTATTTCAGGGAAATTCTTGTAAATATTTTCCAATGTAAAATAAAATGTGTTCCTGTGACTATTTACTTTCACATATTGATAGTTACGTATATACGGTAAAAGAATTAGAATTCAGCAAATCATGTTGTGCCACCAAGTATTTCATGTATCACGCATATACATTTTAACCAAAAGCAGTTCTTTTGTTTGGTAGTGTGGGTAGGGGTAAATAATAGACAAAAAAATATGTCAGTGTATGGTTTTATAAGAACTGTTTTGTACATTCTTAGACTATCACAAAATACTGTGTGATTTCAATAGCTTAAGGAAGTAGCCTTCTAAGCAACATTTTTTTGAATTATGTAATTCAACTGAATGAAATGACTGCAGCCAAAATGGAAATAGTCCTAGTACAACATTTACATGTCCATAAGGTATAAACAGAAGAAAACGAAATCAACACGTGCCCTTGTATATAGTGGTATATTGTCATCACTTCTAAGAAACACGACAAATGTATAAAAATGGTAATCCCTACTTCTGCCTAAATAAATGTCCTTGATAGATTGTAATGTTCAGTTCTTCTGATGATACAGGTATATAGAATACCAAAGCAGGGTATAGTTTGAGACCAGCCAAACTAAACTCAGAAAACCGAAATAAGAGTTTTGTGCATTTTATTTTATTATTTATTTATTTTTTAAAAAAGATTTTATTTATTTCTTTGACAGAGAGAGAGCACAAGGAGGAAGAGAGGCAGGCGGGGGAGGGGGGGAAGCAGGGAGCCCTGATGCTGGGCTCTATCCCAGGACCCTGGGATCATGACCTGAGCTGAAGGCAGAGGCTTTAGCCCACTGAGCCGCCCAGGCACCCCGAGTTTTGTGCATTTTATTCCATAGTTCCTACTCTGGGTTTACTGATTTTTTTTTTTCCCCTGAGTATTTTAAATCATCCAAATTCCGTGTACATGTAGATTTCAACTCAAATAATTATTGTACATAAACACAAATACCTCAAAAATTTACTTGTGACATCGAAGGTCTGCTCTCAGTATCAACAGCAAGGGGGGAAATGCTCGATATGAAGAAGCTGCTATGGTAAAAATGTCTTTCACCCAATCTCTGGTACCAAATTCCTCTCATTTCTGCCCTCTCAATTTTAACAGGCACAATTTGTATTTAAATATCACATATGTAAACTTTTATGCGATAATTTGGTCAACTTTAATTCCTGCCTTCGGCACAAAGTTTACAGTAGGGGAGGAATTAAGTTTTCTGTTTCATTCATGTGATGCTGAGAAACCAAGATGGAGGCTCTTGCCCTGTCCTCAGAACCTGAGGAAAGCTAAGAATCAGGGCACTGGTTAGATCCCACACAAAAGGCTCTCAAATGTTCTGGGATGTAACCAGAAAAATACCCTGTTAACATTTTTTGACTGCCCAAATGGCCTGGAGAGGGAATTGGTTCCTAAATTAACAACCCCTTTGTGTTCCAAGGATTTTCTAAAATATCCAGAATCCTGTCTGTCCCAAGCCTCCAGAGGACAGACACTCCAGTTTTGTTTTCTTTCTTGCAGTTTGGCTGATTACTAGAGGAGAACTAATTGCTCCAGCAGAAACTAGGTAAAGATTTACATTTATCCACTTAAAGGACCATTAGTGGGACTAGTCTGTCCTTCTTACTTGGCCGTCAAGCAGCTTTTTCTTTTTCCTAAGTTAGCACGGGAGAGGAAAAGCAACACAGGAAATGGGAAAGAACTAAAAATGTTTATACAATCAAAACAATGTGGAATGTGATGCAGCATGTAGGCTACTATCCTAGTTCCTGTTCTGGCATGGGCTTGCTGAGTAACTCTGTGCAAGTTACTTCTCTGAGTTTCGGTTTCCTCTTTTGTAAATTAAACAGTTTGGATGATATCATCTCCCAATTTTACCAGTACACACTCATTCTGAAGCTTATGGTATACAACTTATTTAAAGCCTTGTGCTGTGAACTCTATTTCTTCATTCACATCGCGCTTAGGTATTTGGGGGATAACATACAAGTCAATTACTTGGATTTAATAACAGCGTTAAAACAATACACTACAACTTTTATTTGTCCTTTTGGAATTTTTCATCTTCACACGCCCCTGGTGGTTAAACAATTGATTTGGCCTGTTTAGGAAATACCAGTTTCTCAACTTTGTGGGCTGACAATTTGGCTTCTGATGTGAGGTTACTCGGGACTAAATAAAATAAGTGTCATTCTCAAAACATTAACAGTTTTCCATTCACTCCTCCCAACGGCATCCCTAAGGTTATTGGGAACGTTTCTCTTTAACGTGACAATCACTAGACTAGTTAACCATCTAATCAAATATGAATCAGTCTTAAACACAAGGGATTTAAATAGATTCATTATGGAAAGCAAAGTTAAATGACAAGTGCCAATATTTTATCTATGAAGAACTTCATAAGGGGGGCGGGGGGCTCCTGGGTGGCTCAGTGTGTTAAAGCCTCAGCCTTGGGCTCAGGTCATGATTTCAGGGTCCTGGAATCGAGCCCCCCATCTGGCTCTCTGCTTGGCAGGGAGCCTGCTTCCTTCTCTCTCTGCCTGCCTCTCTGCCTACTTGTGATCTCTGTCAAATAAATAAACTCTTAAAAAAAAAAAAAACCTTCATAAAGGTGGAATTGGCTGATTTGACAAAAGCCACAGAGTGAAGAACTTCGCCCGACGAGTGGGAATCGGGCTCGGAAAACACAGAAAAGCTGACTTCCGGAGTAGGAAACTGCAGCGGGTCATCAACCGCACCCCCGACTCAACCCCAGGCTCTGCCTCTGGACACTAGGCGACGCTTCTCAACACCCCTGCAACTTGCTAGTGTACCTGAGACTGTTCTAGACGGAGATTAAATTCGTCCTTGGCCCCTAACGTACTGGAAACAAGTCGGTCAGGCCAGGCGTCGAGCTGGGGAGGGACCCAAGCCGTGGAGTTCCCGGTTTCAGGGTTGGTAAAGGTTTACGCGCGCCTCAGCAAAGACGCGGGAACGGAGTACTGCGTCGTGCAGCTCTACTTTAGCAAAGATTTCTCAGGCTGACTTCTGGTGGGTAGACTTTCCTTCATGCCTCCCCCGTTAGCCTGGCCGCAGGGATGAAGAGGATGTTGGCGGACTGCAGGCGCCTGCAGCACAAAGGCCCAGAGCTAAGGACGGACAATACAGATTCTGAAGCACTGCCGGGGCCGGCATCGTCTGGTGGCGAGATAATTATTACACTGTTAATGGTGAAACTACACTTGGACTGTTTCACAGAAGTCGTCAGGGCCTCTCTAGCTACGGGCCCTTTCCACTCCAGAGGGTCCAGTTTCAAGGAAAGCTCTCCTACGAAACTGGAAACGCACTGTTAAGAAGTAGGAACGCAGCAGGACTGCAATCCCCACAAGCCGTGGCGGGCCCTGAGCATCCGGGACACCGTCTGCAAGGCTCCCTGGGTATTGTGGTCCATTCCTTTGGCAGCAACCCTCTGCCGACGGTAAAATTCCAGCCGAACCGAGGACCACAACTCCCAGCAACCCTTGCTGCCGTGCGGGGGGTCTTCACGTTCTCGTGGCGCGGCGCAGGCGCACTGGGTCCTCGGCGCGGACCGCGCAGACTGAATAATAAAAGGGGAGCGGCGAAGAGGCAGGAAGACAGGACCATGTCGAAGGGCCCCGGGCCCGGCGGCTCCGCAGCTTCCTCGGCGCCCCCGGCCGCTACCGCTCAGGTGCTGCAGGCACAGCCCGAGAAACCGCAGCACTACACGTACGTAGAGCCCCCCCCGCCGCGCGCGCACGCCTGACGTCAGCGGCCAGCGTGAGTCACGCGCGCAGGGAGAGCGCGAGGCGGCCTCTCCCTCCCCCCCCTTCCTCCTCCGGCCCGGCCCAGACCGGTTCCAACCTGCTGGGGCCGGTCCCAACTGCCTCCAACTGCCACCAACCCCTGGTCGGGCCGTGGGGCGGGAAAGCCGGGCCCCGCCGCTGAGTGGGGAAGGCGGGAGTGCGGGGTGCGGAGAGCGCACATCTCAGGCCGGGCCTGTGAGGCCTAACTGTTCCTCAGACCTAAAACCACAGTATCAGGCCCTTGGGGGCGATCAGAAGCCCAGCCCAGAACCAGGATGAGCGCCCCGGGGGCCGGCCCTGCCGCCGCTGCGAATGACGGTTGGCGCGAGGTTCTGTCAGGCGCCCCGCGTTCCGTGCCCGGGAGGCCTTTTGTGTCCCCGAAGCCCGTATGTTGTCTGTGGAGGCCCCTCTTGCTTGGGACAGCCGACCCGGCCTGAGTCGGGGACCCCGAGGGCGATGGGGTCCGAGCGCGTCTTCAGGCCCAAGCGAAGTACGGTAGCAGAGGGAGCCCCGACGCTCGCCCCGCAGGAGTCCAGTAGATGGAAAACCCGCTCCCTGGGAATCTGCCTGTGTCTGAGGGGAGGTCCCTGCCTCCTTGTTCCCTTCGAGGCACGTTAAAAGACCACCTAGTGCGAGGTGCCTCGGGAGAAAGCAAGCTGCAGAGGCGGGCCCTCCTGCTCAGCAAAATGTTGGTTTCCAGCCCCCCGTCCCCCGCCCCCAGTGCTCCTTGA